AATGAATTGGAAGAAGACAAGGTTCTGGGTATCATTTTGTGTCACAAAGAGGCTGAGAATAACATGTAATGAGAAAGGTGTGAAACATTCTGAAGTGATCTAGTCTATGTTAAAAATCTGAGTACTTAACATTTTTTATTCACATAAGAGATAGAATTACCATGACTATAAACATATTATTTCTGTCTTAACAATGATACAACAAAAGCCATAATATCAAGTGAACACTTTCTCTACTCTTCTTTCCCTCTCTTTCCAGCTCTCTTATTCTCTCAGTCTATCTGTCTCTTGCTTTCATTTTATTTTCTGTTTTTCTGTTTCTGCCAGTCTGTCAGTACATCTGTTTGTCTCACTATAACTATTTTACTCTGGTCAGCTGATTACCACTGAACTATATGAACAATTCCACTTTGGCACATTACATAGATAACTGTCAACTACTGTTTTTTTTTTTTTTACAATTCTTATGTAATAAATCTAAATAGAATGTATAGCTTTCCCTTACATTAGCTTCAACTATCTAAATTCATCTACAGTTCTATAGATACTGATGCCTATATGCATTGTAATTAATGTTTATCTCAAATGATCTACTTAAAATCTCCATCACAGAAATTCTATCTAAACCAAATACTTAACTTTCCTAACTGAACATGTAAAATAGACTAATGCCCATAATAGTAATAGGTCTCGACTAGTATTCAACACACTATATCAACTTCATTTTACTTACTGAAGATTCTTGACATCTCTACTGACTTTTTAAGGTAATTCTAAGTCTAAATCTATTTTGGAAGTGTGATCCCATGTTACCCTTCTCTTACATCACAAAAATGGTTAAAGGAGAATGGAAAAAAAGAACAATACTATTAACTTAAAAAAGGTAATGTTTTCATTATTCACCTCATACTAACATATGGTACATACTACACCTTCTAGTCATGGCTCTATCTATCACATATGCATGGGCAGCAAGTCGGTCACCATATATAAAAGGATTGTGACAATCTGGGATCCAAATTCCTGATTGAACTAGTGGCTTTAAATTACTCTCTCTAATCATATTCTTATAAACCACTTCCATCAGTTTTTTTTATTTACAGAGCATTCTAATTTAATTTAGGATGAATATGTGCACTCTAAATTTACATAATGATTGCTACTTTGAAGTACTTTCAAATAGAATAATAAAAATGATAATTTTAAATACATATACACAATCCACTATGCTCATACTCAATAACAATGTGCCTTCTATTCTACATTTTCAAGAACTATTATGCAAAGCACTTCAAAGAGCTATATGGTATTCTGAGGGGGAAAACAACAACATTAATCTGCTGTATTAATACAAAGTGAATAATATTCACATCTGTGCTTAAGACAAGAAAAACATTTCTGATGGTTAAAGTTCATTTGGCAATATATGCTTTTGTAATTTCAATAGCACATTTTCCTTCACCTGAACATATACAAGATATTGCCCAATTGAACAGAATATAAAACAAGTACCAGCATTCTTGAAATAGTCTACCCATTAATATGGTCTGTGAGAAAAACAACAACAAAAAAACATGCTATCAGAAGGGAATAAAAGGAAAGACAGACTAGAAAACTGTACAAACATGCTCACGTTTGTAAATGTTAATAACTGTTTACATATAAAAATGTACATTTCCCTATGAACGCACATTTCAGAGAAAGTCAGTTTGCTGCCTAAGAAAATTATTAATATGAGGAATTAATTATGGTACCAATAATTAATCAATATATAGAAAACCCATATAATAAATATCAGAGAAAATGCCAGCATTCTCAAATTCACTTGATATGAAAAAATAACACTTGAATAAAGTACGTTAGTATAATGAGAGCTTCTTCCAGCAAAATTGATGCTTGCAAAAGAAAAAAATTGAATGGGAATACAAAAAAATGGTAAAATGCTTGTGCCTGCATACACTTACTCAAACCCTCAATCACTTTCTTGGCGCACACGTCGCACATACTGATATCCTCGGATGAAAGGCAAGCCTGTACCTACTTTCTTCTGGTAATCAAGATACTTCTCCCCAAAGAACTTGATGAGTGTTATTTCCTCAAAATAGATTCTTTCATAGAAGAAGCTCCATGAGGCAAGTGCATAGGCTATGGTGCATATAGGGTTGACAAGGATCAACTGGGTGCCGATGCTCCACCAGAACCAGCCAACATAACTAGGGTGCCGAAACATGCTGTAGGCTCCCCAGGTCACTAACTCATGGTCCTTCTGTCTCTCTGTCTGCACAATGTGGTTGAAGTTAGTCTTAGCAGTGAGCATGGCTGCCTTCCTAATGATCTCTCCCCATAGGCAGACAAGGATGCCAAAGGTACTGAGGTACCACAGGGTTTTCATTTCAGGCAGAAAATGCCTCTCGATGAAGAATTCCACCCAACTCGCCACAGCTGCAAGACCATAGGCAACACTGTGGTTCAACAGGTAAGAATCAAGGCTGAGTGTGGCGGGATTACCAATGGCCGTGGTGATGTATTCCGAGTAGTGGAAGAGAGTTAGTACTACCATGTACCAACCAAACACATGGTATGAGGAACTGCAGAGAACACTGACCATTACCCCTAGCCCACAGGCTGTACCCAGGAAACATCCTCGTACAGCTATCTGGAAAAAAAATAAAAAATAAATGAAAAAATAATATCCATATACATAAAAAAGACAAATTCAGAACACATGGTCTTTTCTTTTGGATATTGGTGATGCCTTCAGTGAAAAGACTGAAGTGAAAACAAAATGTGACAAAGTGACAAAATGTAGCCACATGCTACAGCTAAGGTTCCACAAGAAAAGCATTCCTGCATGAACTTTCAGTAAAAAATACTGTTTCTTAAATAATGTCATGGTTACCAATTCTATGTGAAATACAATAGTTTTTTTCTGCAGGCATTTGCAATATACTTTTTCTGATATAAAGGTCAAATTTTCAACTATCAATAATATACAAAGAAAGAAAAGCATGAGATATTCATATACTACATTCTCATCAAGCCTACTTTCTGCCTGCATAATATTGTGCAATTTAAGCAACCTCCTTGTAATTTGAAAATCATAATGTTGTTAATGTTTTCATGTTCAAATGTGACTTAGCACTCATTTTATTACTCAATTCATTCTGCAATTTACTTTCTTTTCAGGGCCCTTATTAATGTGGGATAATTACTTTTTGTTGGATGTAGTGAACATTATGTCTGCTTGCATTAGGTGTTCTTTCAATATTCCAAGCTATTATATCAAATATATCCCTGAACATGAGAATATTAATCTAATTCCATTGCAAGGTGTGCATATTGCTTCCAAAATTAAATTTCATTTCCACAATTTGGGCCTGCTTTTGTGGGGCTGTTTCCCTACCTAACCCCTCTACTGAAATGCAAAATTTGTATCATATCTGGTCTGAGTGATATGATGACCAAGCTGAGGCAGAGGTAAATATCACTCATTATTTGACTGAACATGGCTTTGCAATTCCAGATCAAAAGCACACTAATCGTAGCAGATAATCATTATTATTAGAAAAAGGTGTCACCATGGAATCGTTCAAAACTAACCTTACAGCTTTGAAGGTATTTAATTAATGATCACTTTTCATTAAATAAACATGTTTTGCAAAAAAAAAAAAAATAAAAATAAAGTTATTTAATTATCAAAATATATAGAGATAATATTAAAAGGAGGTGAGATTCACACAATCGTTGAGGGAATACTGACCAAATTCTCCACTGCGCAAGTGTGGGGTCTTTTATACCCATACTGTTCCTGTTATCTCACCTGTGACGTCACAGCCAGTGTTACGATTTCATTGGCCAATTGTTTAGCGGTTAATTTAATAGCCAATGGGGAAACATGGCACGAGGAAACAGCCAATGAATGAATATTAGCTAAAATAGAAGCTATGAAATTCAAGTTTCAAATTAGTCTTGCTATGGCTTCCACATGGAAATAAAAAATTATTTTGAAGACGATAAGGCTAGCTTGAAACTATTACATGAACACTGACTGCTACCCTCTGAAGTGCCCTACGACCAGCCGTTGCACTGCTCGTGCTCACGTAGACCTCTGACGCTCCTGCTCCCGCAGGCCACTCTATTGGACCCCTCCTCTATATAGGCATGTAAGATTTATTTTTATTTAAGTGTCTAGATGTACAGTGCTTTACATGCACATGAACAGCATGTGGAAATGCCCGATGCCGACTCTATCCAACACTTTGTTTTCCTGAGTGGGGGTTTGGAGGTAGCAGACCCCAACAGGTGAGTTTCAGGGTGCACAGCCCCTTGCAGTAGACAATATAGTGACTTAATCAGTACTGTGATTACAGCAGAGATCGAGAATTCCATACTGCACACGCATGATATCAACAACAGAACTCAAACGAATCTATTTACATCCCGAGATGTGTTGGTGACATCATATTCCAAAATTTCCCAGATTATCAATCTAAATTGTGAAAGAATGCCTATTGCACAAAATCTGGCAAACCACTCAGACTGACCATGCAGATATTCACAAAGGTCACTTGCCACACATCAAAACATTGGAGAAAGAGGTATGCCCCTCCCTCACCCCTCAAAAAGAATTTGTGAAATTAACAGAAAAAATAGCTAGAGAGCATGCCTTCTCTAAAGCAAAGGGCTCATAACGCCACCAACCTGCCAGCTCTTCCCCCTGAAGGCCAGGGCAAGAACGGCGTTGACGGAGGCGAAGAAGCAGCCGCAGTAGACCCACGGATGGTCCTGCAACCACTCTTCCGCCACTCCGAGCCGCGGCGACCACAATCCACACGTGACCAGGAAGTAACTCAGGATCCCTAGGCCTAAAAGGAAGCTCTGGAGGCTTATTTGGCCCTCGTGGACCATTCTGAAACACGAAATCATGTCGTAAAAAAGGGAGGAAAAGGACGAGGAACCTGTCTACAGGTCGAGAAGTCGCTCGCTCAATGTTTACTCGCTGGGCGTTCACGGAGACGGAATCCAGAGGCGGATTCGGATGCGAAGCTGGGAGTGACGTCACACGCTGTAGATTTCTTTTGTCTGTCTTTCTGTCTGCTAGCCTGCCTGTTTGTCTTTCTTGCTTGTCATTTCTAATCCCTCTTCGCTCTTCCTCCCCCCTTTCTCTGACATTTTTGTTTGTTTTCGTCTCTTTTTTCCACTTTAGCTTTCATTTCCCATGCGTTTTTCATATCTCACTTATCTCTTTTGTCTTTACCAACCTCTCCGTCTGTCTGTCTGTCTCTCCTATTCCCTTTTCCATTCTCTCCCTCATTTCCCTGTCTTATATTCTTATTGTCGCGCCCTCTGTCTCCTTTCACTCTGACTTCATCCTTGCTATGTTTCTCTCTTGCTCTGACATTCTCGCCTTCCTCTCAAACTGTTACACACACCTACACTCCCCCCTCCCACATGCACACAACCGACTGGATATTAAAGAGAGATGCGGTGAGCCTTTCAGAGCAGCTCTACGGCATAGACTACTTGCCCGGTGGCCGTCTTGCTCAAAGTTCAGATTTTATTTTGCGAGGCATTTGAACTTTCAGAATACCATTTTTTGTTTCTTCTCCCTATCACTCCCCTCGCTCTTTCCTTTATCTGCCTTTATCAATTAGTTTGTCTTTCTAGAAAATTACCGTCTTTCTTTTTGTCTAAGTTCTCTCTCTCACAGCTCACCTCGCTAGCGGGGTCACCTTGCGATTCCCAAGAGTGGCGGCTTCATTTAATTCAACCCTCTGAGCAAGAATGCAACAGACTCGAAACCGATGTAAACAACTTTACCACACTCACTGACCAACGAAGGTGCAGAAATGTGCTTCAATAGGGATCCAGTAATCACAAAAAAAAAAAAAAAATCACAATTAAAATGGTTAATGGTTAAGATAAATGTACTAGACATCTAAGGTCATATAGCACTATAGGAAAGTATAGTAAAAGGGGATGTCAGGTGATAGTTGCTATGTGTCAACTATCTAGAATAGTGTTGAGAGGTTGAAGATGAGGGAAAAGATTATGGTGGTTTAGGTAAGGGTGTTAGATCAAGTGAAGGATATTTATGTGTCTGAGGAAGGAGAACAGGTTGTCGAGGCAGAAGCTGTGAGATTCTGTAAGGATGTCTGATGTTGGGAGGTCGGTGAAGGGAGGATAGGTGTGGAAAAGCAGAGGTACGTGCTGTATTAAAGCGTGGACAGGACAAGAGAATGTGTGGGACTGAAAGAGGGATGTTACATAGAGGACATAGGGGCGGGTCTGAGCGTGACATCAGATAGGCATGTGTTAGGCGAGTGTGGCCAATACGTAATCGTGCGAGGGCCATCTCCCAACGTTTTTGTGAAATGGAGCTGACCAAGAGGAGATTGATGGTTTTACGGTATGTAATTTATTGTTGTGGAGTCTTGACCAAAAAGATTGCCATCGGGTATACAAGGTCTTAAAGTGGGGGTAGTAATCTGTAGCTGGAATATGTGAGAAGCGTTGTTGAGGTGATGTGGACATTGCGGCATATCGTGCAAGAGTATCTGCCTGTTCATTGCCAGGGATTCCAACATGGCTGGGTACCCAGCAAAATCTGACAGATTTGTGACGTGTGGATAGATAGAACAACCAGTTCTGGATCTTACAGACAAGGGGATTGGTCAAGTGCATTGACTTTATGAGGGTTAAAGACTTACGGGAGTTAGTAAAAATAGTAAAAGAGGAAGAGGTGAATGAATATATGCGTCTTAAGGCAAAAAGGAGTGCATATAGTTCTGTAGTAAGGCCACTAGATTCAGGAGGGAGGGTGTATTTGAAAGTGCAATTTGGGAATGTTACTGAGAATCCAGCTCCTGAGATGGATTTGGAACCGTCAGTGTAAACATGAATGCTGGAGGAATGAATGGAGACATGGTCAAGGAAATGAGTGAGAAGGATAGAGGGGGGAATATCTAATTTTGGTGGGTCAGGGAAAACTGAGGAGCAAATACAGGGGTTAGGTATAAGCCATGGAGGAATGGAATGGACAGACAGTGGGAGAGGTCGGAGATGAGGGAAGGGGGAATGGGAGAGAAGGGTATCCATGCGTACGGGGAGAGGAGTTGGTAAACGTGGAAAAGAGGTAAAGGTATGAAGTAAGGATTGTGGAATAGTTAGTTTGGTGAGGGAAAATTGGTGAAATCGAGCATAGCATCGGAGAGAGAGAAGGGCTCGACGTCGAGAGAGGGACGGCATGCCTGATTCAGTATATAGGCTCTCAACTGGAGAGGAGCGGAAGGCGCCTAGGGCTAAACGGAGACCGTTGTGGTGGATTGTATCAAGGTGAGCAAGAAGAGAGGTTGAGGCAGAGGAGTAGATATGGCATCCATAATCTAGAGTGGAGAGAATCAAAGTAACATGAAGATGGAGGAGAGTTTTACGATCTGAGCCCCAGGAGATATGTGAAAGAGTTTGTAAGATTCGGAGGCGACGTTGAGCTTTTTCTTTGATGTACAAGATATGGTCTCGCCAGGACAATTTGGAATCAAATATAACGCCTAGGAATTTGCCAGAAGACCGGTATTGGAGTGGAGCATTATATAAGAAGAGTGGGGGTTTGGGGACCGTACGTAAGCGAGAGAAAAGGATGGGGAAAGATTTAGAGGTAGAGAAGCGAAAGCCATGGTTGGTGGCCCAAGAAGTTACTGATGTTATTGCAGACTGAAGGAGTTGACAGAGATCTGGTATGGATGTGCCAGATGCATAGATGGTTAAGTCATCAACATATAGTGATGTTCTGGCTCCTGGTGGTAGGACTGAGACTATGTCATTTACAGCAAGAAGGAATAAAGTGGTACTAAGCACACTTCCTTGCGGGACGCCTTCGAATTGAGGAAAGGATGATGAAGTGGAAGAGGCAGTCTTGACCTGGAAAGTACGTTTAGAAAGGAAGGATTTAATGAAAACACCCATGTTTCCATGTAAACCTAGGGAGGACAATTGTTGGAGGATATGGTATCGCCATGTAGTGTCATATGCTTTTTCTAGATCAAAGAATATGGCTAAGACGGATTCATGGCGTGCAAATGCCGATGTAATGTATATCTCGAAATGGGCAAGTGGGTATGCTGTACTTCGGGCACGTCGGAAACCAAACTGGGAAGGGGAAAGGAGATTATGAGATTCTAGGTACCACATTAAACGGAAGTTAACCATTCATTCTAGTAGTTTGCACAAGCAGCTTGTTAAAGCTATGGGGCGGTAATCTTGGGGTAGGGTACCTGATTTATTGGGTTTTAAGAAAGGTAGGATAAGAGCATCTCGCCAATGAGAAGGTGTCGGAGCATACGATAGTGAATACCATCAGGGCCTTCATGAGTGTTGCGGCACGACTGTAATGCAGCGTTGAGTTCAGAAGAAGAAAAAGGAGCATTATAGGACTATAGAGGGTGACTATAGAGGGTGAAGGTAAAACCTTGATGGTTTTAATGGAAGAAAAGTGTGGGGAAAGGTGAGAGCCACTACTGACCTGGCTGAAATAGTTGCCCAGTTCATTAGCTACTTCGACAGGCTCAGAGATGAGAATATCTCGAATATGGAGGACGGGTGCAGGGGGGGATGTTTGCCTGATAGTTTATGGATCCGTCGCCAAACAGCTGAAATAGATGTAGAAGATGTAATTGAGGAAACATAATTTTTCCAGCTATTTGTTTTGCTGTTTTTAATTGTACGGCGAAGATGGCCAGATGCTCTTTTAAAGGAAATAAGGGCTCATAGCTGGTGAGGGGTGCCTCATTTGTAGCGATAGCTGTTCCAGGCTGCTCGTTTTAAGCGAAGCGCTTTGGTGCAATCAGAATTCCACCATGGAACACATTTAGAAGTATAGGGTCTTGAAGTTCGAGGAATGGCTGTATAGGTAGCTCTTAGGATCGTGGTTGTAAAACAATGTAGCATAGCTGAAATGGACGGTAAGGGGGGTGGAGGGATAGGTATAGTAGAGAGTGAAGTGAAAGTATGCCAGTCAGCTCTATCAAAGCACCAGCGTGGAGGATTAGGAAGTGGTACATATGAAGTAGGAGAAAGGAGTATTGGGAAGTGGTCACTATGGGGGAAGTGGTCTAGAACTGACCAATGGAAATCTAAATGTAAAGTAGGAGAGCATAGAGAGAGGTCAAGGCATGAAAATGATTGTGTGCATATGTCAAAGTGTGTGGGGCGATCTGAATTAAGAATAGTTAGGTTATTTGTGAAGAGGAAGCATTCTAGAGATCGGCCTCGGGAGTTGGTGGTAGAGTCACCCCACAGTGTGGCGGCAGTTGAAATCACCAACTATGAGGAAAGGTGGTTGGAGTTGGGAAATTAGAGTCTCAAAGGCAGTAAAGTCAATGGGATGGGATGGGGAGAAGTAGACTGAAATCATTGTGATCCAGCGGCGAAGAAATATGCGAATAGCTGTGCACGGGACAGAAGTTTGTATGGGAGGTATTACATAAGGTGTTTTATGATGGATAAGTATAGACGAGACATAAAGGGTGTGTGGGGAAGAGATAAAATGGTAATTGGGAATTGGAATAGGAGGGTGTGTGAGGAAAGTCTCTTGGAGGCAGATAATAGATGGATTATAAGAAGCAAGGATATGACGTAGGTCTGATCTATGAGAGCGGAAACCGCGAATATTCCAATGTAGGAGAGCTATATCCTAGTTGATTTACGAATGATAACGCAAGTACGTGTTGGGGAATTTGAAGGGGAAGGAGCTAGGGTGTGTGAAGGAGGGATATTAGGAGGTAGGGAATCTGGAGAAGGGCATTGTTGTGCCATGAGTGATTCTCGTGTGTATCTGGGAGGGAGTGCAAAGGATAGAGGGGATGGAGGGAGGGAGAATGTGCCTATAGTTGGGGTTGAAGGGGGTGGGTTGTGTTGCGAGGGAGTAGATGTGTGGGGAGTATTAGCGTTAGGAGGATGAACATTGGAAGGATGGATAGTTGGAGTTGAAGGGGATGTATTG